CCTTGTAGTTAAACAGAACATTTTGTTAGGTCTAAAATCTGAGACAGGCCTCAGTATTCCTTATTCTCATCTGCAGGTTATGGTCACTTGTCTAACACGTGGAAGGGACTGCCTGGGAGCTGCATCTGGTTCCCACAAACACCAAGTAGTCTAGGCTCTCTGTTGCCTGTATTCCTTTCTTTACAGCTGACCCTTGACTTTTCTTCAGCTGTAGTTGTGAGGCAGAAAAATCATCGATCAGTGTTAGATGAGCCAAATTGAAAATGCTGTTATTTAAATAGTCCTGAGATATTTTTAAGATCATTTAGACTTCTAGTTCATTAGGCACAATTTTGAGTTTTTAAAATTCACTTTCCTTTTCTTTTCTCTCCAAAACAATGTTTATTGTAAGAGAATAAGTGTAATTGAGGCCATGAACATGTCTCACGGAGGGTTAACATTGGCATGTGGTGGCCTAGAAGAGTCGTTGGGGTTTTAGCGATAGCAGCTCAAACCTAGCATGGACAGTTAACTTCCATCTGAATCATCAAGTGAAAGCTTTGAGTAGTAGTTGTTGCTATTTTTTACTACTAGATTAAATATTAGCGTATTTCCCTGCTAGGAATTATTTTAACAGTGTTTTTAACATTAAGTGGTTCTTAAAAGTCTTTTGGGTATTGTTGGGAAGAGGTGGTAATTACTTGCTAGCACTAAGTATGTTAATGTTCTTAAAACTTTTTAAAGGTCCACGAGAAACGAGATGACTTGGGCAAAGGTGGAAATGAAGAAAGTACGCAAACGGGAAACGCTGGGAGTCGTTTGGCTTGTGGTGTCATTGGGATCGCCAAGTAAATATTCCCTAGGATGCGATCTGAGTCCTAGTAACTCCTATGTTATCTTGCTAGTTGTAGAAATTTAACTTGATAAACATTAAACACTGTAACTTTAAAAGTATAATTTGTGTGACTTTTTAATTGCTTTAAGTACCTGTAATGAGAACTGATTTATGATCACTTGGAAGATTTGTATAATTTTATAAAACTCCTATTCAGTTAAAATGTCTGTTTCAATGATCTCTGTATTTTGCCAGGCTTAATAATCATGGGTATTAAACTTCATTGTCTGAATTTCTTCAATTCTCATTCAAGCCCGCAATAAACAAATATACCATATGGCACTGAATTTTGAACCTAGTGAAGTATCCAGATTGAAACTCAAAATTAGCTCTTGATACCCTACATAGAGTTTGAACAGAACAGATTTAGTAGTAGGTTGACAGGTATTACATGTTTCATAGAGGTCACTTTTCAAAGTGTTTTAAATGATGTTTAAATTTTTAGCAGCCGGTCTTTTAGCTAAGACTAACCTCAATTTAAATCTTGGACAAATATCTTTTGTCAGCTTCAGGGAAATTAAGATGGTTTCTCTGATTAGCTCCTCAGCATTTTGACTCAGTAGGATTAAACTACCTACCTGCCACAGTGGCACATATTTCTCTCCATACACACATGAACAGTTACTCCATCTGTGCCAGTCTGCTTTCACATTAGCCATTTAAAGAAATCTACCATAGCATTTTAAGATGGAACCAAGGAAATGTTTAAATGTGGGTTATGCCTAAGGATTTATACATCAAATTAGTAAATTTAAGGCTAGTTCTCTTATCGTAAGTACTTGCTATGTACCTATGAGAAACTGCTTTTAAATGAATGTTAACCTATTTCAGATTTGACTCTGGAGCACAGTCGTTTATTGAGAGTTGCAGAACATTATTTCTAATAGAGAAACCAGAAAGAAGCTACAGTTCTGATTGATCATAAATATATGATATACTTAATCAAATGTAGGATATCGCTTGGGAGGGGAAAAGCAAATTTGGAAAAGGATAATTTGTAGTGCTTTCAAAGTTTTAAAATTGGTGATAAAGAATATGCTCAGAATAAGTGGTTAAAATCAGTCAGGATTTAAAAATATGAACAGATTTCACTAATGTGCAATTTGGAGTACATATGTGGGATAGGACTCAAATATAGGGACCTGCTTGTGACCTTTCAAGTCTCCAGTGTAATCACTACCACTTGGTATTGGGGGTGGGGGGGGGCTTGTCATGTGCAAATTGGATGATCCCAATACTTACAATTGGAAACACGGGTTTTTTAAATCCCTGAAATCTGACCACTAAATGATCACATGTATGTTTCTTTCCAGAAGCAGTTTCAGTTAGGACTTTTTAAAACCTCTCCGTGGGCCAACATCAAACAAAGGACAAGTTTTATCATTTAAGTGCAGATACGAACCTGGATTTTTTTTTCTCATTTTCTAAAGTCGGGAACACAAGAACATTGTCCTAGATATATTCTCCCTGTCAAAACCAAGATCTTGCTGCAGAGTACTATTTAAGAACCAAAGTAATAAAGCAGCTTCGCCTGGGGATGAGGGCAAAGAAAAAGTTACTGCTCAACACACTGAATGACACGAGGACAGTTTAAAAATGTAATTTAGGGGGAAAAAAAAGCTTCAACAAGGCCATAAATACTTGGATTGTGTGGTCTTTTCCTTGGCACTGAGTAAAGCAGTTTTATGGAACTGCTTTTCTGAACTATTTCAGACACAGGTTTGATTTGGCTTTGGATGACTTCATGTAATAGTTCTTGGATAACCTACATCTATTTTTCCTAGTAAACCCAACAATTTTAAGCAAAAGAGAAAATATTTTATATGTTCTCATATGTGACAAAAAGTTCAGTCTACCTCTGCCCAGCAGGGGAGTTTAAAAAATGGTAAAGAAAGGCAACAGGCAAAGCCTATATTATAGGAAACAATAGGTTGCTTTTAAGTCCTTAAAACATATAAGACAAAAAGCTTTTAGGTTGCAAATTTAACCTTGATTTCTTTCACCCTTTTGAAAAATTTAATGGGATGGTAAGAAAACATTCAACCTTCTAAATAAGTAATACCCAGGCAATCGGATAATTTTATAGTACAAACGGGTACTCTGGGATCCAGTTTCCTCCCCCCAGCAAAATTTCTCTTTACAAATTAATTAGGGCAACATTTACCACAAAGCCAATGGCAAAAAAGAAATCCTTGATTGAAGTGCGAAACTAACAAGCTTTTCCATTAACATTAAAACCATGAACCTTTACACCTTATGATTGAAATGCTAAAAATAAAAAGTATTACAAATGAAGTGTTTGAGAGTAACTACATAAAGATGTCTATTTCCATCAAGTAAACAAGTCTAATTTAGACTCCAATACAGTATTAACAGCTCAAACTTTGATGGTGAACAATCCTTTTCCACCTTAATGCAGTGTAGGAAGAATAGCACACATTAAAGTTTGTTATGAAAATAGAGTTTATTAAAAACATCCCTATTGTTTTGAGGAGCTTTCACCGTTACCTTGTCTTAAATTAAAAAAAAAAAAAATAGAGAGCACTTCTAATTACGATTTGTAAACTTTTTAAAGTCAAAACTTTTAAAAAGTTACAGCAAAAAGGGTAATATTTATTCATATTTTCAGTATTTTTTGTTATTTTGTGGCTATTTTTAAATAGAAGGGAAGCAATCAAATTGCTTACAATTCCCCACCAACTACTGCGGGGCTGTGATATAGCAGGAGCAAATATAATACAGCATCTGTACACCTCAAGCTCTACACTCCAGAAGCGTCACTGTCACATTTTGACAAATTCCAGTCTCTAACGAGGAGCCTCTGCTGCTGAGCCAGAATCCTTTTCGGGTTCAACGGATGAGGTAGCCTCAGCAGGTAACTCTTCAGAAGATTTTACAACTGCAGACTCAGACTCCCCCTTATCAAGTTCTGAAACAGTGTCTACGTCTCCCACTTGGCTACCGGGAGGTTCAACGGTTTTGTTACCACCTGCCCTGTCTGTCACCTCAGGCTTCTCCTTTCCTCGGTTTTCTTCCTTCTCTCTACGAGACTCTCTATCTCTAGAATCTCTCTCTCTGTCTCGATGCCCACTAGAGCGTCTATTTCTCTCTTCCAAGTCTCTGTGCCTGTCCCGGTCAGGGCTCCTTCTTCCCCACTCTCTCCTTTCACGATTGCTATTATCTCTATCATCATTACGGTTCCCATACCGTTCCCGGTCATTTTCCACCCTATTTCCAAAAGATCTTCTTCCAAACCTCTCTTGGTCTCTACCTGAATTGAACTGCTGCCTGTTATCGTTTCTAAACGGTTGTGGTTGCTGCTGAGCCGGTGGCGGCTGCTGAGCTGGTGGCGGCTGCTGTGGCTGTGGCTGTGGCGGTGGCGGCTGCTGTGGCTGTGGCTGTTGCTGCCTCCCGTCTCTGTCTTCGGGACCCCCTGGGCCTGGCCCCGGGCCCCCAAGCCCTGGCATTCCCCCAGGCCTAACAAAGGGGCCATGCGGTGGAAAGGGGCCTTTCATTCCATGAGGTGGAGGCATTCCAAAGCCCCCGGGGCCTGGCGGTGGACCTCTATGCATCATGTGCGGTGGCATGGGACGAGGTGGCATCAAAGGAAATCGCTGTAAATGAGGTGGAGGCATTCCTGGAGGGCGCTGAAGTGGGATTAGGCCAGGTCGGGCACCAAGGAGACCAGTGGATGGTGCTTGGAGCCCAATTACAGGACCAGGTGCAACTCCTTGAGTACCTAAAAGAGAGTAATAAAAATGTCTATAAAATAACGCAGAAGATGGCATTCTGGTTTCAACTCTTTCCTGTGGAGCCTGAATCAAAATGAAGTTCAACCCCAAATCTTCAAAGTTGTCTGCCAGTCTACCTGCGCAAAACTCAACGTGAGGCCAACAACCCATAGCATGTAGTCTTAAAGATAGATTACATACTATATAAAGATATGTATTAGTGTGTAGATGATGAGGATCTAATAATGGTAGAGGTCAAAGTAAGATGGAAAAGGACACTGCAATATACCAATTTTTGGAAAGAGTATGTCCATCACTAGTGGTTGGTAAAAATACTTAAAACACTCAAAATACTTAAGACATTTGAGAAAGACAATGTACGGGTCCTCATGACACAAAGAGCTGAACTATGCTATGTGAGCCAACTGAAGGCCATCTCAGGTGTACTCTTAGTAAATTTTACACTTTGAAGTCTTAACTTACTGGAAAAAAATAGGGTCACTAACCCAGAAAATCCACTGAAGAGGGAGGTCTCCGATTCCATGTCATTAAAATGCCTTATTAAACGGTAAACATCACTTGAACAGTAAAGCTTATAAAATAAAGATCAACACACCAGTGGGGAGTTTATTTTTACAGGTCCTTTTTCAAAGCACACCCTAAGGCATAAACCTGCTAGGCCGAAATGATGGAATTATGCTGAAAAGTCCGGCCATTCACTTTCTATTCATTCCTCCTAAGGTGGCAAGACCAATGAAGTCGGTGCTGTTGAAGGTGACAAGGACTTCACTGGTTTTATTTCCTGTTTTCATGAGGGTTGGCTCAGGTTTTGGTGTTAAGTCCTACGAATAAAACCACCCATCCTTTAAAACGATATGGCAAAATAGTACAGATTCGGTTTTGGTTCACCACTTCAGTAACAGAACGACATCATCCCCCTCTCTATTTCTTTGCAAATATCAACACCACAAGGCAAACACTATGACGAATAGGAGTTACTCTAACAATGGAAAATGTTCCAGATATTGTCAGAATATATTATTTACCCATGTACTGCATGCAGAAAGGCCTTTGAGCAAGTTAGGGGCTATGACTCTCAACCACCGATGGTTAAGAGAAATGCTTTGGGGACACTGATACCCAATACTTTAATAGGAAGTTTTCTTGCCCCCTCCCCCGACAGCAGGTTATTTTATGTTGACAGAACCACTTCTTCATGTGTGCTTTAGCATACATTAAACAAGTCCTGCTTGCTCCTAAATTTTCTGTATCAGCAATACTAAACCTAAACAAGAGTTTCTACTTCAGTTTCGGATCCTCACAACATGTAGTCCAATCCCATTCTGTCCGATTTAAGGACTAAATAGAATGGACCTGAAAATCTACGTATACCAGTTTACAACTCACCAGCTGTGGTATTTACTTAAACACAATACCTTCTTTCAAATGCTTACAATGAAGTCTATTATGTCTGGTGAAATACAATCTCACTTAGGAATGACCTTGGACGTGTGCCTCAGAAACAGTACCTGCCTCTTGTGGAGATTAAGTGGGATAAAATACATAAGACTGAGCTCAGAGCCTTGTCCACAGTTAAATGTTGAAATTTTCACATCTATCTTGACAGATGATAAATATCCTAACATTAAATATCTGACTTCGCAAAACTGAATGCATTTTTCATTTATGATAGGACTTATTAACCTCTTGTGGTCGGTCCCCCAATACCCACCATAGTTTAAAGTCCAGCACTTTGACAGTTGGGAAAAATGTGAATACACCGAGCTTCTACGTGTCAGGTCTTAATTTTAAAAATGCAAATGACTTCAGTAAGAAGCTACAAATTATGGAGTGGATAAATGAAGCAAAGACCTAGTTGCTTCACACACTCTTCAGACGTTCGTTAGGAAAACCCCAATTAACATATACAGAACCACCACCTATATACCGTATTTCAGATTGAATAAATCCAATGGCAAACATTCCTATTGTTTAGTAAACTTTTACTGAGTGCATACCATACAGTGGGACAGCAAAAGCCCCTAAGATATGTCCTTGCTCTCACTTTTAAAAGGAATCAGTACGGGGGCGCCTGGATGGCTCAGTTGAGCATCCAACTCTTGATTTCGTCTCAGGTCACGATCTCACGGTTCGTGAGTTCAAGCCCCGAGTTGGACTCTGTGCTGACAATGTGGAGCCTGCTTGGATTCTCTCTCTAACCCATCCCCACTCACTAGCTCTCTCAAAATAAGCAAAAATTAAAAAAAAAAGTTAAAAGGAATCCGCCCCAACATTTACAGACTATACCTCAAAACAACATAAAATGTATGTACCCCATTACTGCCCTTTAAACAAAGAAATCCTGCACAGATGCACTTAAACAAATTGAACTTTACTTTCCCACCAGTCCTTAAGGAGTAAAATGACCACTGAGGTGGGATTAGGCCTTTTTCAGAGATTTGAGTACTTGTTTATAGGGTTAAGAGACCAATGCCAAATTTTTAAGTAACACCAGAAAAATGTGGAAGAGGTTCAAAGCATCTTATTGTTGTTAAAGAATTAAGTTCAGATGAACCTTTAAGAGGAAACGATGACTCGTACAGGACAATGGAAAGGTCCTGTTTCTTGATTTACCCAGGAAGACTGGCTTCCTCAGCTACCAATCTGACAGTGGCCAAAGGATGTATGGCCACCTCACCCTTGTGCCAATCAGACAAAATGGGCAATCATTCTCCATAAAATATAAACCTGTCTCTAGGAACGCAGCTCTTAAGTCCTTCATAACATGCATCTGAGAGTGCACGAACATCGATTTGATAGGGTTAACATTTACAGTCATATATTTAAACTACCTACAAAGCAGTATTTTTATACAGCAAAATTATTGCCTAATTTGATTCTGTATGTATGGATATTTGTATTTGCCTAATACTATACACTCAAATCCCTTCCCTCATTTGTAAATAAGTGGATTTCCTTTTAATCCTTCATGAACCAACATTTACAGATTCCCCTGACAGAATATCCAACCCCATAGTCCTAAACGTTGGCTTTCAGGCCACAAAAGTGATAAAAGTGTGGATTACAATTTTTTTTTTTCTGTAGTGGACAAGTATTGCTTTAATAAGTTTTATTTAACTAAAAATATACCAGGTGGCATAAAGCCCTAGATAGGCATGCTAGCTGAATTTCATTTTTTTTTTTTTTCAACGTTTATTTATTTTTGGGACAGAGAGAGACAGAGCATGAATGGGGGAGGGGCAGAGAGAGAGGGAGACACAGAATCGGAAACAGGCTCCAGGCTCGGAGCCATCAGCCCAGAGCCCGACGCGGGGCTCGAACTCACGGACCGCGAGATCGTGACCTGGCTGAAGTCGGACGCTTAACCGACTGCGCCACCCAGGCGCCCCATGAATTTCATTTTTAATTAGGAAAGCAGACGTTATGCATATTCAATGGATTGTATAGTGAGTTACCCAGGTCTAAAGGGCATTCAAACCAATTATTCATTTTATCTGGAAGTATGACATGCAATGTCACTGCCAAGTTTTCTAGAGTTGCAAGTTAAAAAGAATTCACACATATTGAACATCTGAACTTTATTAACTCATTTCATGTGCTGGAGATAAAACAAGGCCCTCTCCTTTAAACAGGACATAGCCTAAGTAGAAAGAAACTGCTGGAAGAGATGACACGAGCTAGTATTGGTGACAGAGGTGGAAGTGATTAAGCTGGTGGGCATGAGTCTCAGTGCAAGTCCTAGAGCGTTTGAATAGGGTCTTGAAAGAAAGGGCGGAAAGACATCACTGGTCAAGAGAACTGCAATAGAATGTCTTTTGCCAAGAGAGAAACAAATACAGAAGATGAGGTTTGTTACTGAAGTAGCAGGAAAGAATTTGTGTAAATACAAATTACTATCAATTAAAGAAAAAAAGAGGTTCATAAGGCTGAGCAGGCAGGCCAGGGCAATTCAGAGGTGTTACATGCCACAGGAAGAAACCTGGGACTTACCAAGAAATTTTTTGCAGGCATGATCCCGTGTTCATTTTTGAAAGACCTTTCTAGCAAGCAGTGTACAGGAAAGGAAGGGAAAGACACTGGAGAGCAAGTGGACTCTCACTCTCAGAATCTAGGGTACAGAAATGAGAGACTGAACAGAAACAGAGGTGACAGAGAGGAGGAACACAGCTCTCTGCTCTGAATAAGTGGATGGAAGCATCAATACAACGCAGGAATCTAAGAAAAGAAGCTATTTTGGGAGACAGATGACAAATTTCATTCCCTCCACCCCCCCCCCAAATTTCTGAAAGTTAGAGGGGCCTGGCTTAGATCTGGTGGAAATGTGAAGAAACTGGCATGTATACCTAGAGTTCACAAGAGTCACAGTGTTACCCACAGCACAGGCAAGAAAAAGGGAATTCAGACCTGGGAAACACCACCTTAGAGACTCTGAGATTCCTAACACAGTAAGATTTTAATGCAGAAAAAGGGGACAGCCGCAAATATCTGTATTCAAATTTGAGGACGAATGAGAAATACACTGGACTTTAACTCAACATAACCAAGACTTAACTGTGGATATTCCAATGATGAGCCCCAAACCAGTCATTTCACCATTAAAAAACAAAGTAAAGATTAAAGGGGAGGTGACTGCTATCTAGAGCAAAGACGTTCAGAATTGTGTGAAATAAAGAACAAGTGTGTTAAAAGGCTGAAGGGGGAGTGAGGGGGCGGGGGGTGACTGGGATCATGGCTGGAGTCCAATGTGGACCTTGAAATCTCAGGGGAACATAAACAAGGGATGCAAATAGGATCTTTCTGCCAAGTACCAGTGCGTGGGGGCAGGGAGACACACAAAGGTTTCAACTAAATACTGTGGGTGTGACCAACTGCCTCAGTCATAGTTGGACGCTCTTCAAGAGGATATAGGGGCACCTGGGTGGCTCAGTCGGCTAAGCATCCCAACTCTTTGTTTCAGCTCAGATCTCATGATTGGTTGAGTTCGAGC